TTTTTTTTTTTTTAGAGACAGGGTTTTACTATATTGCCCAGGCTCGTCTTGAACTCCTGGGCTCAAGCAATCCTCCTGCCTTGGCCTTCCAAAGTGTTGGTATTACAGATGTGGGCAACTGCGCCTGGCTCCTAGCATGAATACTTAAAGAGTTCTTTGAATCCATTATATGATGGTTATCTGATTCTTTTCAATATAGTCACAATTGCTAGCTCAAGAATATCTTCTCCTAAAGATACCTAAACATCAGAATAGTTTTTAAAATATGTTATTGCCAGGCATGGTGGTTCATGCCTGTAATCCCAGCACTTTGGGAGGCTGAGGCAGGCAGATCACCTGAGGCCAGTTCAATACCATCCTGGCCAACATGGTGAAACCCCGTCTCTACTAAAAATATAAAAATTAGCCGGGTGTGGTGGAGCATACTTGTAATCCCAGCTACTCGGGAGGCTGAGGCAGGAGAATCGCTTGAACCTGGGAGGCGGAGGTTGCAGTGAGCTGAGATCACGCCACTGCACTCCAGCTTGGGTAGCAGAGTGAGACGCCATCTCAAAAAAAAAAAAAGTTATCAAAAGGAGTTTACCTCAAAGTATTTTTTTAGATCAAGGTGACCAACTATGGCTCAAGAGCCAATCTCTTGGCCTGAGCCTGTTTCTTGTTAGTTTGTTTTTGTTTGTTGTTTTTCTTGAGACAGGGTGTCCCTTGGTTGCCCAGGCTGAAGTGTAGTAGCACAATCCTGGGAGCATGATTGCACAATCAGGCAGCCTCAGCCTCCTGGACCCAAGTGATTCTCCCACCTCAGTCTCCCAAGTAGCTGGGACCCACAGGCATGCACTATTATGCCTGGCTAATTTTTTCATTTTTGTTGAGATGAGGTCTCCCTATGTTGCCCAGGCTTATCTTGCACTCCGGGGCTAAAGTGATCCTCCCGCCCTGTTTTTTTTTTTTTTTGAGATTGTACTCTCGCCCAGGTGGGAGTACAATGATGCAACATTGGCTCACTGCAACCTCTCCCTCCCAGGATCAAGTGATTCTCCTGCCTTAGCCTCCCTAGTAGCTGGGATTATAGGCATGCGCCACTATGCCCAGCTTATTTTTGTTTTTTGTTTTTTGAGATGGAGTTTTGCTCGTTGCCCAGGCTGGCGTGCAGTGGTGCAATGTTGGTTCATCACAACCTCTGCCTCCTGGGTTCAAGCAATTCTCCTGTCTCAGCCTCCTGAGTAGCTGGAATTACACCATGCCCACCTAATTTTGTATTTTTTACTAGAGACAGGGATTCTTCATGTTGGTCAGGCTGGTCTAGAACTCTCAACCTCAGGTGATCCACCTGCCTCAGCTTCCCAAAGTGCTGGGATTACAGGCGTGAGCCACCGTGGCCAGCCTAAACCTGTTTTTTTAAGTAACATTTTACTGGAACATAGTGACATTCATTTATTTACATATTATCTATGGCAGCTTCCAAGCTACAACAGCAGAGTTGAAGAGTTGCAACAGAGACTCCTGTCCCATAAAGCCTAAAATATTTACCTCCTGGCACTTTACAGAAAAAGCTTGCTGATCCCCATTCTACATTTTTTTTTTTTTTTTTTTTTTGAGACAGGGTCTCACTTTGTCACCCAGGCTGGAGTGGAGTGGTACCATCTCAGCTCACTGTAGCCTCCACCCCCGGGTTCAAGGGATTCTCCCACCTCAGTTTCTTGAGTAGCTGGGACTACAGGCACACATCACCACACCTGATTAATTTTTTGTATTTTTAGTAGACATGGGTTTTCACCATGTTGGCCAGGCTGCTGTTCTACATCTTCTTACCTAACTTTGAAATAGGGCTTGACACCATATAAATCATAGCAGCTAGATGGGCATTCTTACTTTTGTTGTTTCTGGCTAAAGATCAGTCTTAGTAAAGGTAAGAACCAACAGTGATATAGTCGTTATAGGTCACTAAAAATAAAAGATAAATAACTTTCAATTACTTTAGTGTGTACTATTAACTTTGTGAGTGATATCATGAAGTTCAAGTCTGATAAGAACTGCTTCAAATTGTGGCTCCACCACTTAAAAGTGTCTCAAGATCCTTAGGGTGTTGCTTTTCTAGCTGGAAACCTCTGTGGGTGATGGCACTTTTGCCTGAGTTTTGTTCCAGCCCACTGGGTTCATTCCGCCCACTTGACCTGGCAGGCTGCATTTGGTTCCTGCTACCAGCCTGGATCCCATGCATACCAAGGGAAAGCCAGGTGTGGAGCGGTCAGGAGTGCATGAATGAGCAAGCTTGGGGTCTGGCCACCATGCCCAGCCAGGCACACGGGCTGTTGCAGCAGGGTGGGTAGTTCCAGAAGCCAGCACAGGCACTGGTTCCATGCAACCCTGTGGTTTAATCAGATACACCATAAGCATCTTCCACTGTGGGCACCCACATCTGGACAAGGGGAATGTGGTGGCACCTGAAAACCTGGAGATGCCAGAAACCAAAGAGCCCCAAAAAGGGTGTCACAGCCCTGTCTTGTGGAGCCCCTACATCTGGGCTCCCTGAAGGGCCACAGCTCTTCTCTCCTTCTTGTCACCTGCAATGTGGCAAGAAGGGGAGAGGGGTATGTTTCAGCCCTGTTGTGTTACAGCTCTTTCAGCCCACCATTCGGCATGTCCTAAGTTCTTGTCCTGTGTCCAGGAAGAATGAGGTATGGAGACAACTAGAGGGTGAACAGTCAGAGAGGAGCTTTATGGAGTGACAGAAGAGCTCTTGGGAGACCTGAAGTAGATAGCTCCTATCTGCAGGCAGGTCATCCCAACAAATGTTGAGCTCTCAGTGGAGAGGAGACCCAGAGTGTGTAGCTCCTATTTGAGGTCTCTGGTCATCTTTGTGAGTCTGCCTGAGTCTGGGGTTTTTATGGGCTTAAAAGGGAGGAAGTGAGTGCTGATTGATCCATGGCAGGGTGGCCATGGCAGGGTTTGGAAAAAGCACCATAAATTCTCACTCTGGGCCACTGACTCCACCCAGAACTGACAGCCTGGGTCTCAGGCTTCATGAAGGTGGGGCTTCACCAGGGAACTGCCCCTTTCTGCCCAGGAACCTATCTGCCTCCTGCTGCTGTCAACATATGGCCCATGGTGCCCAGGCTATTCTTGCTGAGAAGTGCCTGCAGGCCCATGCCGAGCTTCCCTCAGTACCCCCTCAGCCTCCCTCTCATACTAGTCAGTGCCCAAAGTCCAGAGGGGGCTGAGGTTGCAGGGGGCTGGCATGTCAGCACCACCCCAAGCACATGCACACCTGGCCAGGTTGCTACAGCACCTGGGCTCAGTCACAGCTTTGCTGTGCCCTGGAGTGGGTGCTGGGAGTGGAAAGAGGCCAAGCAGTGGGTGCAGGTACATTCAAGCCTGCAAGGGTAAGGGGCTTACTGGACCTCCAAGAGTGCAAGGATGCTCAGGTGCAGAACTGTGGCTGGGTAGCTGTAGCTATGCCTGGGAGTGTGGGACTCCTGCCCCACCAACTCAGTAGTGGATGGAGTTCTCACCTGTTCCTGGACCCTGCCAGCTCTGCCTCCCCTGCTACAGCTGGCATCTTTGCAGTAGTTGCTCCAGCTTGGCTGCTGCTACCATCAAAAGCCTTGTTACTAGGGCCTGACTCAGGTATGCAGGTCCCTAAATAAGCTAGCAATTTGTTGCCGCTCCAAACACATATTCTTTTTTTTTTTAAATTTGTTATAAATGTGTTTTATTTTTATTTATTTATTTTTTAATTTTTTATTGGATTATAGGTTTTGGGGTACATGAGCAGAGCATGCAAGACAGTTGCGTAGGTACACACATGGCAGCAAACACATATTCTTGTCCAACATTTAGAGAAGGCTTATGCTGCAGGGTGACGGGTGAAGGAGGCTTTCCTCTAAAGTGACTTAGCTAGAGCCCAAACCTGCATACCCTAAATTACTCAAATAGAAGGCCTATAGCTAACCTCACTTTCCCTCCTTGAAAGGCACATTATTTGATCATGCACTACAGGAAGGGTCCCACTTCTGTACTTCTACCACATACCCAGGCAGCCTATTCAAAGTGTTCTTCCAACCTCTCCTTGAGAGGAGTTGTGATCACTGTAATTTTCTCCATCATGATATATTTCCAGGGATATTTTAGTGTTCCTTAGAGACTGTTTACCTGGACAATGGCCTGGCCAGTATGCTTTTAAATCAAGCTCTGTTATTGTCCATAGACAAGTTACTACATCTCTCTTTGCTTTACTCCCTTGTCTATAAAATGGGGACAGTATCCATTTATCTTGCATAATTGTTGAGAATTAGAGATGGCATTGTACACTGCCTAGCACAGTACAAAGTAGATAAATATTAGGATTTATTAATGTTACCATCATAATCATTTTTATCTTTCAAGATTCATTTATTTTTCCTGACATTCAGGAAATGCAAATTAACTTGATAATAAAGTAAGAATTAATACAGTAAGAAAACTTTGGATTGGGAATGGTCTGTAAACTGTTTTCATATTTGTAAATAAGCAATCAAGTATATTCTCAAGTAGCATTTAGTCTACCTTGGAATAAGAAAACAAGTATCTATGTAAAAGACAATTTCAAACAAAAAGGAGATTAAGTTGACACAATCACTATACAACTAGAAGTGTACCTCACTTTTCTGGTAAGCTTCTTGTTAAACTATATTGTAGAATACAGAAATTTTATCTGAAAACTTTTATGGCACAATATGAAAAATCTTTAAATTTGTACACATTATTCACTTGGGAAAGGCAAATTACACAATTTAAGTTATTTAGATTCTATCTAAATTGGCTACAGGGTTTTGAGATCACAAAAGTTAATAACATTATTGTAACTTCCCAGAAATTATACTCTACATTGATATCATAAAAGATATAATCTTCTACATTATTACAATCTCCTAGTAATAGAAATCTGTTAGTTATATTAATCTACTATGAGGTGAATATAAATTTAAAAATATATCAAACAATGAAACTTTAAAACTACTTACATGCAGTACACAAATATGCAACAGCTGTATATCATTGGGAGTTCATCCAACAGCTATAAGAAACAAAGATAGATAACAGGATTGAATATCATGGAGTAGCAATCATTATGCAAATCAAAATAAAATATCAAAATGATGAAGATTTTCAGCCCTTATGCCAGACACAGAGGCTCACACCTGTAATCCCAGCACTCTGGGAGGCCAAGGTTGGAGGATCACATGAACTTAGGAGTTTGATTAACACAGTGATATTCTGTCTCTACAAAAACTTTAAAAAAAAAAAATCAGCAGGGCATGGTGGCATGTGCCTGTAGTCCCAGCTACTTGGGAGGCTGAGGTGAAAGGATCGCTTGAGCCTGAGTGGCTGAGGCTGCAGTGAGCTGTTATTGCATCACTGCACTCCAGCCTGGGCAACAGAGCAAGACCCTGTCGCAGCAAAAAAAAAAAGGTTTCAGCTCTTATTTTATTTCTTTTACTAATTATTTTTACATATTTATCATCAAATTTACTCTGAATATATGTAGCTTACTGTTTTTGAACAAATAAGGTTATCATCCGAGTGCCCTAACCTAAGCAGGGTGCCTGACTCACTAGTCCTGAAGGGCAGATAGTGCTGCTTGTATCATCTGGTATGATAAACTATGATACTGCACCTCCAGAAAAAAATAATGTCCATCATCTACAGGTCTGTAGGTCCTATCAGTATTCTTTTGCAACTCCATCCTTCTTATATCACGTTAAATGGATAAAGTGTCCACTAACATACATAAAAAGAGATATTAATGACCAGGAAAATAATTGTATCTATCAATCCAAGTAAAGTATGTCTCTTAAAAATAACGTTTATTATTACTGGCAATGATAATAATAGTAATAATAATTACAGTCCTTATACGTTAAACTGCAAGCTAGACACTAAGCTAGGTATCGTAGATACCAATCTTACAGAGTCTATTTATCACTGGATACACATTTAATTAATTCTTTAATAGAACATCCACTACGTGCCATGTAGTGTGTTAAGAGCTGAGGATACAATTATAAGACACAGTCACTGCCCTCAAGGAGTTCACATTCTAATTAGAGGTTACGGAATGAAAGCACGATTGAATATAGAGTAAAGATTCCAACAAAAGGGGCACACAGAAGCCAGAGAAGTGATGGCAGGAATGAAATGAAATGGGGTAGTGGAGAAAGACATTCTAGGAAGTAGGAAGGGAGCTTATGTAGAGTGAATGATGTATTCTGGTAAATTATTAGAATAATGAAAATAACAGCATTTATACAAGGTTTTAAAGTTAACTGTTTTTAGTCATTATCTTATTTAATTTTTACAGTTCTAAGGTAAGTGCTATTATTATCTCCATTTCAAGATGAGAACACTGAAGTTGATATAGTTCCAGTAACTTGTCCAAGATCACAGAGGTAATTAGTAGCAGAGCCAGAGTTTCAGCAGACTCCAGAGCATACCCCTATATTATGTTGCCTCCAAAACCTTTCCCTTGAATCACTTTTAAACATTCAAAACAGCTGGCAGAGAATCATGGTATACTGTAGCTAAATCTACCACAAATTTTATGATATGCAGAATGTTAGTCTTTTGTCTTCCTTATTTTTCAGTTTTCATGTGTTAGTAGAATATTACTATAGCCATTTGACATTTCTATAATTTACTGAGGTAACTAAAGGACCGGTTTTTGCAGACTTTCTATTTATATATTTAGACGGTAGGATATTAAAAGATCTACTTTCTCTGTATTATCTCATAGGCTTATCTAAACAACCCATGAAAGGTAGCTGAAACAGTTGTTATTCTTTTATTCAGAGATTGAGCAAATATTTATTAAGCACTTACTAGGTGTCTGGCATTATGCTGTTCTGAAGACAGAATGGTCCTTAGCCTCATGTTGCTTTATAATCTTGCAGTACAGAGAGACATTAAGTAGTTAATTGCACAAATAAATATTTACTTATAATTATAAGTGCTATAAAGGATAAGCACAGAATACCACAATCACAAAATAGGCGTCCTAACTTAGGGAATTATGGAAACCTTCACTGAAGAAGTGACACATAAAACGAAACCTGAAAAATGTGCAGAAGTGATTAAGATAAAGCAAGACTGAGGGAAGAGGAGAAGCTGAAGTAGAGGAAACAGCACATGCAAAGGTCCTGTGGTAAGAAAAAAAAAGTGAAGAACTAAAAGCCCAACAATGTTGAAACTTATTTAGTGAGGGAGAGAAGAGATATAAAATGAGGATGAAGAGATAAGGAGCAAACAGATCAGGCAAAATATTTTAGATTGAAAGGAATTCCTAATTTCATCTGAAAAGCAATGGTAAGCCATTGAAAAGGTTTAAACTTGGTCATGGTATGTTTTAAAATGTAGGTTTTATTATTATTCAGGTATGCTGTGGCCAATAGATGAAGAGACAATTGCCACTGAAAAGATAGTTTGTTATTCACACTTCCCAAGATGAGGGCGTAAACCTTGCCATGTCACACATCGTCACACAGGGAAGGACTGAGGTCAGGAGGCAGAAGCAACAAGGGAAAAGTGTGGGTAAGAGCCTTTATTATGCTTTCCATGGGAAAGGCAAGGCAAAGCAGGGTAAAGAGGTTTAGGATTGGCTAGTTTGAATAATTTCAGCAGGCCCTAGAGTATAGGCACTATCTCTAGTTGTCTGGTACCTGTGATCAATTTAATATAGAGGTGAGGGAGAAGCAATTGTAAAGGATGGCTCCAGGTTTTTTGCCTGAACAGTTCAGTGGATGGCAACACAGTTTACAGAGATTACAAAAACACTGGCCGGGCACGGTGTCTCACACCTCGAATCCCAACACTTTGGGAGGTCCAGGTGGGTGGATCATGAAGTCAGGAGTTCAAGACCAGTCTGGAAAACATGGTGAAACCCCGTCTCTACTAAAAATACAAAAATTAGCCAGGCACAATGGCAGGTGCCTGTAATCCCAGCTACTCGGGAGGCTGAGGCAGGAGAACTGCTTGAACCCGGGGGAGAAGAGGTTGTAGTGAGTTGAGATCGGGCAACTGCACTCCAGCCTGGGTGAGACCCTGTCTGAAAAAAAAAAAAAAAAAAAAAATACAATTTTCAACATTTTGAGTCTGAGGGACGTGTGATATAGCCAAGTGGAAATGTCAATCAGGCAACTAGAAGTACAAATCTGTAGCTCAGAAGAAAGGTCTTGATTCTAGATGTTGGCTGCCTGTTTATTTGTTTAAAGGGACAAAATTGAACTGAATGTATGTTTAAAGAGGAGAGACTTTCAAATCTGAGTATGAATATGAAGGTCTTTTTTAATTTTTTATTTTTTAAATTATATAGAAAGGGTTTCACCATGTTGACTAGACTGGTCCCAAATTCCTGGGCTCAGATGATCCTCTTGCCTTGGCCTCCCCAAAATGCTGGGATTAAAGGTGTGAGCAACCATGCCCAGCCCAAATATGAAAGTCTTATTTTAAAAGCATAACCAACAAAATTATGACTCGTAAAGGAGCAGAGTTCAGGGGAAAATAAGGTATGGGTCTGAAGATGACTCTGGAGAGGTTGGCAGTTACAGATCACAAAGGTTGTGGTTCAAATTTATGAGCTGGAACTATGGGAAATAGTAAAGTGGTTTCAAAAGTAACAAGCTATCTGAAGAGTGGGAACTGTGTTTTAAACAACTTTTACACAGCTCATCCATAACACATGTATAAGATCTAGCAACATTGCTCAAAGAATGAAAATAATTAATTTTGTTTGTTGGAAAAGTAGTTCTGCTCCAGTGTGACAAATGGATGCAGGAGGCAGGGACACCAATTAGAAAAAAGTTACAGGAATTTGAGTTAGAGACAGTGGTGGAGATGATGGATTAAGGTAGTGACAATGGAGACAGGTAGAGATTGATGGATTCAAGAGTATTATGAAAGTTGAATAAAAAGGTTTTAGTGTTGCAGAGGTGAGAAAGCAGGAAAAATTAAAGATGAGTCCCAGGTTTTTGGGCTTTGAGTGTAAGGTGATTCCATTCACTGGAACAAGGAATAAAGGAGAAACAAAGGTAGTATTTATAACTAAAACATTTATTATTTATATTATATGTATATATATCATTTATATTATAAAGTCCAAATTAGCTGATATTACTACCTAACATTTAAGCTGTTTGTGTTTCATATTATAAACAAAGTTACAGGTGAACAAACATTTGTCTTTGGTTTTATTTTCTAGGACAAAAAAGTATTTTTACTTATGAATAATAGATGAATACATTCTTCTTTCACTAGCATTATTTTTTCTAATATAAAATATATTATATGTTTAGAAAAAGTAGAAAAACACCAAGAGAAAAAATTAAGAATTGTTTTAATTTCACCTTCTCCGGGATTACCAGCAACCATAGATATCAGTTAGTGAAAGCAAAAAAGAATTAGTTAAATAAACTAAAAGGAAATCCAGGGAGGTCTACCAAAAACATAAACCTTTTAAATTCCTAACACCATCAATGCAAAACAAAGCCCTAAGATGAGTGAAGGAAACAAAAGAATACTAAATATGATATCAAAAAATTCAGATCCTAATCCTGTCCCTAACTTTCTATGTAACTTCTAGTCAAGTCACTTCCACTCTCTATGCCTGTTTTTCCATTTATAAAATCTGTGGATTAAAATAAATTTCAAAAATCTTTCTACTATTAAAATTCTATGATTCTAAACTGTTCTTTTAATGGAAAATGAAATTGTTAGGGAAATGTAATAACATTATCTTGTAGCATTGAGTGAATATTTCAGATATTCGTTGCTATGAGTAATATTAGCCAGTTCTGGCACAAGACAGGCAGATAATTGAGTTTCATCTGGAATGAAATTTCTGAGAAAATAAGGGGAAGGGCTTTAGAATATTTGTGTGGGTGGGAGATGTTATAATGTTGGGCCATAGGCTTCAAACCCTGCAAGACAGGAAGGGAAGGTGTGAGGCGAAATGTACTTCCTTTCAGTAGTTTTTCTATTGTTTATAAAATTGGGATCATATTACATAATACTTTTATGTCATAA